ACCCATATTCTTTGTAGGTCCCAAATATTAGCGATTTAGCTCCTTTGAGCATATAATCCAAAACAGGTACACCTCTTTTAAACCGAAGCGATAATTGCTGGCATTTAAAGGCGGGACTAAAGAAAAAATGTCATGTAACAACAACCAATCAAAATACGCGAAAAGTAGGAAAACCTTTGAAGATCGCAAGAATGGGCTTATCAATTCTGTTAACAAACACTGGCTGATTAACTTTATTAACAATATTTGCAGATAAACGAAAGTTATTTAATTATATTGTGTTTAATTAGTCCTGCTAGTGAAAAATTAACTTATTTTGAAGACGTTAATTAAGTTTACCAGGTGAAACTAAAGACATCCATTCGTAGCTAAAAACAAACGCATGTCAACGTTTTTAGCTACGTTCTCGTAGCTACGATCTCGCATATAATACACACTTCTGAAAGCTCCATACATTGCGATTGTAGTCAGGCTTTTGAAGAATCTGAACATTTTCTTTTTTAGTTACCCCCCCCCCCCACACACACACACCTACATTCTGATGCACGATCTGCGACAATAAAAAAAAAATGACACAATTTTATCAAAATCCTCAAAACTTATTATTCGGAAGAAATATGTATTTTTCGATTGTGGAATATACATATTTTGTATAATAGGGTGTATAGCCATCTAGGGAGGTTGAAATCAGATCTAGGGCTTGTCGAGGATTGTGGGTTTGGGCTAGGGTAAGGGTTGGGTCTAGGTGACCTTGTCGAAATTGCAGGCGGCCTTAATATTTAAACCTAACCGGGGTTGGGTGGCCGAATGGTTAACGCGTGCGCGTTGGATTATTAAGTCTGTCATTGAGTCAAGTGGCGTGGTTTCGATTCCCCGCTTGTACGTGACAAGGAGTAAGGTGGCCTGTCCAGCCTCATGGGTTTTCTCCGGGTCCTCCGATTTCCTCTCACTGCTAAAGACCCCTACGCGCAATGTCCTAGTTTGTGTCGAGTGGACGTTAAATTCCATTTCACTCTTTCATTATAGCCATCTAATAAGTTGACTAACCAATAATTCATATACTGTACTCTACGTCTTCCATAATTTTGCAATATAATATATGTATGTTTGTATTTGTATGGAGATGGGGTCAATAATCTTCTGTCTGTTCTCCAATTTAGTATCTGTCAATAAATGTTGTTTTAAAAAAAAGATATTTTAGCAATGGGCTTTTTTACGTGCACACCAATATGCACACGGGACTTCGGTTTTTTGTCCAAATGGGTCGGGCGCCAAGAAACTCAGAAATAAAAGCAACTGATGGAGTCTATTGGTCCTAATATCAGTCTTGTCGGTGCTTCTGTGTGGCCTAAAGCCGACAACGGACGCACAGAAAGTCTGACAGCAGTCGGCTCCGATAGACCGCGACTGGGGAGTGTGCATACAGAAAGCCGACGGGCTCCGACATCTTATCGGACCAATAGCTGATGGGTGTTTTTTCTGACTTCACGCATGAACAGTTTTTTCGTAACTACCGATTTTCAAAGGCAATATTCAGAGAGTTATTGGATATTCTGGACCCTGCGCTTGAACGACATACTCACTGGTAATAAACTAATTTGTTCTATTAAAGATACATTATGGGAGATTCGGTAACGAGTTGGCAGTTTTCACTATAATAGTTAAAAACTAGATACTGTAAAGGCAATTTGGTGAAAATTTCAGTCAAATTGATCCACGATGAACCGAGAACTGAAATTCCTATAAGCCTCGGTCATCATTACTAAAGTCAGTACGATAAACAGCATAGTCTCGATTATCCATTTAATCGTTTAATCGGGAAGGAAAGTTATGTAGTAAATCGGCTTACAATCCACTAAAGATCGCAGGCTAGCGCTGCCATCTAGAGTTGATTATGGCCTGGATAGGTTAATTAATGTCTAATTAATAATTTAGATAACATTTCAGGCCTAAAGAAAGACCTGAAATAGGCAGATTTAGCGATAATTTCATATTTTTAAGTTATATTTTTAAAATGTATTAAAATAAAGCCTTAAAATAGATGGTATCTATAAACAGTCCTACCTTGTTAAAGAATAATCCTATTAATCCTATAATTCACTATTGCCAGTTGAGAAATTTGCAAAAATATCATTTTCAACTTCAAATTCAAACGTTTGAATATAGCTATTCCATGGGGGAATAGAAAAACAAGGGAGGTCATTGTGTTATTATTTCCGGGGTGAATGTTTTTTAAGTGTGAGAATGATACCTATGATCGTATAATAGTGAGTTGACAACCTATTGAGCAAAAGACATAGAAATAATTATGTTTTGACTTTCTTAGAAAATATGAAATTCTCGCTTTAAAATATTAAAAGTTGAACTGGCGTCTTATTACTCGTGCACCCACCGTAGTTCCCGACTATAAAGATAGAAAGTGTGTAGTCGTTCTGATGGTACGTAAAAACCGAGGTCACGTGCACAAATTAGTAAACACAGCCACCCTCACAGATGCACAATCCCCACAAAACAAGATCAAAACAATCCCTTTTAAAAAATTAACATACATGTATTCAGATACTTGTTCGGTTTCAATACTAATTCCAGGCAATTAAGGTGAACTTTTAAACTTTGGTTTGTTGGTCCGTCTATTGGTAATGACCGGATGCTTATGCAATCATTTATAAGAATACATAATTATCCAGTAATATTTCTGACTTATGCAATAAATTTTAATAACACAGTGTGTTGATAGTATAAGTAACTTCTTGTGATAGAAGGTTATAATGGTCCTGTCACAGATGAATACTTCAAATGAACTGAATTAAAGCCTTGTAGCTTTCAAATAGATAATCCGTTAATTAGCATGTTTTTGTCTGGATTATAATCTTGACCATTAGAAACGTATTAAATAGATTTACGTGTGCAGGCTCATCAAATCTTTTGTAATCAAAGTTGTGGGAGTGGGGGGGGGGGTATATTTCGTACATTTATTCATTCGCCATTTCATTGACTAATTCATTCATTGATCTAATGTCTTATTTACTGCATTTACTTATATTTATTTTATTTTTTTTTACCTAATTATTCCGAGGATATTTCCGTTTCTAGCTATAGTCATACGGCGTTTTACGTGGTTTAAACTGACTTGGGGGGAAAAAACGAGAATTTCCACTCCAAAAGGCGATACAAACGGATCTCTTTGAGCAGACATATTATTATTATTTTCTGCATGTCAGTAACTGTCCTAAGAAGTGCGATAACGCGACGAGAAGAATCCCTGGCGCAAACTACTGACATAAAGATATACTAATATGTAAGTCCCAAAATATTTTAATGGGTGTTTCTGCAACGACTTATATTTAAAGCGTGTCTCTCTTTTTTTTTTTTAAAAAATGAGTATTTGTCCAGAATAATCTATCTTCGCAGTTGTTTTGAGGGTCCGATAAATATGATTCTGCTGTAACCGGGTTAATGTAAACGTCACGTATTCGCGGTATTTATGTAAAAGTGGGTTTGTTGTACAGGCCATAAATAGAAACTGTTCTTTAGTAAATAGAGACCGTACACCAGCATGACAAACAACAATAAAAGGGCCTAGACTGACTAATAAGCTTGCAGCATGTGTGGTGGATGAGATAGGGTTGGTATTATAGGTTGTCTTTGTGGGAGTGCAGTGGGTGTTTTGCTTCTTTTTAATTTTTGCTTTTTTTTCCGTTGTTTTTATTTTTCTTTGGAGAAAGACGTTGTGAAAAAAAAACGTACTGTCTTTTAAGGTAATTAATTACCTGGTGTTTTTTGCCAGGTTCGTACACTGAAAAATTTAATAAGACAAGTTCAAATCAATTACTTATATTTATACAACTTTATCATTATTATCTATGCTTGATAAATGTATTGATCGGAGTATCACGATTCACTATAATTAGCGATAACTGCTTTTAAACGTTTATTGATAAATTTGCGGATGATGCAATGCAAGCGCGAGTTCAACGATGCATAACTTATACCATCCCTTTTAAAAGAATCAATAAAAGATAGTATTATATATAGGTTCACGTTCAAGAGAGAATTGCAATGCTAATTTCAATACAATAACCATTACAAAGGAGGAGCATGATGAAATCAGCATCGTTGTTAAAGTCATTTATTATAGTTTGGACTTTGAACTGTTTACAACGAACAGCTGATTCCAAGTCGGTCGTCGTGGGGGTGTGACCGCCTTATAGCCAATCAAGTAACTGAAAATCGACACACCCCCATGACATCGCGGTTCAAGGTCGCTATAAAGGTAAGGGTAATTTGGTTCAAGCAAAAGTCAGCCATAAAAAGAAATCATTCAAAAAAAATAGAATCAGATGATGATGCAATTTGCGAAAGCTTTTCAGGTGATGCAACGCAATAACCCGGAAATAACTCTAATAATGAGTAATGATCGTATTTCATAAATGTTCTTGCATATGACTATCTAATTTACTAATTAGGAAAAACAGGGTAAATTCAAACTTCACCATTTCAATAAATTAATATAATGTGAAAAAACAATAATACATATTAAAAATTAATGTTATTTTGTAAGACATGTATTGTTATGCATCACAATGTGAAATGTTTGTTGTAACTTCCATACTCATGCTTGAACATGTAGTTGTGAATAAACTGTTATTATTATTATTATTATAGCATATTCCTGAAGCAGTGGTCCGAGGATCAGGTCGAATCAAACGACGCTCTATACAAAGAAAGTGACATTTTTCTTGGCATGTCATTTTCCCCAGAACAATAGCTATAATAATTAAAGAACTTGACTAATTAATATTTAGTTCTATTAAGTGATTATAGTGTATTTTTAACCGATTATATCATATCCTAGTGCCCGCCGTCATATTAACGGATAAGCGCAGTGATCTTAATTGACTGGAAAGAAGCGGCTAGAAAGAAGTGGAAATTCGTTAGTGTGTTTATTCGTCCAGGAACTATGACGTATTAAGCGGTTACGGTATAAATAGAAATTCAGCGGCTCGTGAGTTCAGTGCAGAACAAGAGCCAGCTAATAATAGTACTATATCGATGAATTGACCACTGTGTACATCGATATAACTACCGTCAATATTCGTTTGTTTCGGAATCTCACAAAGTTATCACCATGCCAGAATTGGAAAATTGTGAAAACGAACAGTAAGTTATTTTCTTAAAAACGTTTTATATTAAGTCTGAATAGATCTATAAAAAAAAAATAACTATTGACCAAGATCTGTGTAAATTTTATGTTTGTGAAGAACATGTACGTTGAACCTCTATGCTTTCATACTGAACGTATTTTGGCCACTGTCTTAACGAGAGTGATACCGAACATCGATAATAGATTACAAACCAATATATATATTATAATTTTTATTCACCCATGGGTATTATTATCAATATAAACAATTAAATGACGTGGATTTATTCAAAGAATGTTGCTGTATATTGGGTTAAATTTATCAGAGATTTATGGCAATACTTAATATAAACTATACTCCTCAAAACGGCAGTGATGTCATTTAAATGATATAGGCCAATAAGATCTAGGAAATCGTATTTTAGAGTAATCTCCACAAGTTTTACGCGGCTGTTAATACCCAAATCCTATTATGTTTATTAACCACTCCATCCGAATCACTGGATTATGTACATTTGGATTAAAGGATGTCATTTTCTACAAATTCTCAGGGCAAATCTATTTGTCTCTAAGATTCGCCCAAGGCAAACAGAATGTGGGACCACATGTGCAAAATTTAAACCGATTTATTTGTTGGCACATGCAGCTAGTGGTGTGTCGTTGATTTCATCAGTCTAGACATACTTACATCCTGAAAAAGAAACTGTACGATTACCCAGTTTTGTCCGTAAAAATGACTAATCATTATTAAATGGAAAACTTGTGTAAAATCCGCATCCAACAGGAATATGAAAACAGTGGATCAATGTGTAGAATCCGCGTCCAACAGGAATATTAAAACAATGGATCAGATCCATTGTAATCATTATTACTAAGCAAATAAAGCCGGAGGTATGATTTGGCCTTTAAGACTCGGCGCTGTGTGTTTGGGGGGGGGGGGGTGTAAAGGCATAAAGGCGGCATCTTTGTGCCTTAGAACCTAATGAATTGCCTGATTATATTTATATAAATGATATTAAACACAACAAGCTATTATTCAACAATGTGGCATGTGGGACTATGGTCAAATAGCGGAAAGCACATTTACACCTGTAGGAGCGAACATTAATATAATAGGTCCACACATAAATGAACTTACAATGAAATTTTGTTTTTTAAAACAAACCACAAAACATAGAACTGGTTAGGTGCCCACGGTCCCAGCCCAAAGATAGAGGTGACGTAAATCTACTACAGAGGTGACGTGGGCTAATTTCCAAGACGCTACAAACAAAATAAAGCGGAACTCATGGAGATTGTTGCAAATATACATGCGAAGGCCTAATAATCCGATTTTACGGTTGACCCATGCCATGACCTCTTAATTTATTGCAAACGATTAGGCGAGTAAATGAGAAACGCTGTCATATTTCGACGACCGATAGCCTTGCTCCGTCAGTAGGAATTTAAATTTATCTATGGGTTGAGAGACCCTCGCAATCCACTACCGGCGTATCACAACTGATCCGCAGTGAATATTCGCTAGGCGCTACAATCACTGATAAGGATGACATCAATGCGACTTAATGAGTCTCAAATATTAACTTTTTTCCACCGACAAATTAAATTTTAAAACATTGTTTTGGTGTATTAGAAAAACAAATAAAGACGGTTGACGTATTTGTAGGTAAAAACTATTTCATATTTAGTGTAAATGGGTATTAAAATGAATAAAAAGCAGCATTCTGTCCGAAGCAGTAACGTCTTATTTAAACAATGCACGCGCCGCATTCAGCCATTGATTGACGCCGCGTGCTGTGACGGCACGTGTATGGTGGCCCATGGTCGCAATAGCGTTTTTGGGGTTATTTTTTGTATTTCATTTAAAATCATAAAAAATAAAAGTAAAAAAAAAGAAACATTTTTTTTTATTTTGTAAAACAAAAGAAAAAAAAAATCTTTTTAAAATTTAAGAAAAAAAAAATCTTTTTAAATTAAAAAGAAAAAAAAATCTTTTTAAATTAAAAAGAAAAAAAAATCTTTTTAAATTAAAAAGAAAAAAAATCTTTTTAAAATAAAAAAATCTATATAAAAAAAATTAATAAAATATTTAAGATTAAAAAAATCTATAAAAAAAATAACATTTTAATTAAAAAAAAATAAATAAGTGAAATAGAAAAAATCAAAAAAAGAATTCTGCACGTGGCCCATCGTCGTAATAGTGTCTTGATTATCCAGACTCAGTATAAAATCAGCCTACGACAGCTATCATTCGACTCGAGTGACCAGAAATACCTCGTGGCCCATTGTTGCTATAGTGTCTCGATTATCCTATGTGGCATAACTCGAGCGAGAAGAAACGAGTTTGTAGTTATCTCCCCTTCCGAAAGGAAAAGGTAAACAGACATCAACACGTGAAACACAATTTTTCCACCCATGACGTCTATGGACTTGGATATATATGTATTTATACATATGCAAGTCAATAGAAATGTATAATTAATAGACTATAGAAGCCTAGCGTCATTTAGACTAGTTTATCCAGTCTAACTAGAACTAGGCCTACATACATAATGACGTTTGAAGTCATTGATTCCATTGAATTTAATGACACCATTCGGCCTACTAGTGCGCAAGGCTTATGTAATGTTTTTAAAACACTTGGTCTCCCTGAGGTCGAATTTCAAAAGTAGTTAACAACTTTGAAACTAATCCTCGAAGTATAGGCCTACTACTACTAAGTAGCCGGGGGGGGGGGCGAATGGTTAGCACGTGCGCGCTGTATCATAAAGCCTGTCATATAAAGCCCGTCATTGAGTCAACTGGCGTGATTTCGAATCCCCGGTTGTACGTGACAAGGAGTAGGGTGACCTGTCAAACATCGTGGGTCTGTCGTTCAGATTATCCTGTACGTGGGATCTATGAAGAACGTATGGTATAGACTCGAGCGACAAGAAACCAGTCTATAGTTACTTCACATCAAGCCACAAGTAATTTTAACTAAAATCTATTAAAATTAAATTTTAAGTTACAATCGATCTTCGTGAAACGCATAAATTTAAAATTTCACTTTGATTTTAAAATCTATGTTAGTGATTTTAGCTTCAGTTTTTGTGAAACCCCTGCTCTCCCTGAGGTCATCGATAGTCCCCCGCTACGACCACAGGAACGGGTAAGAGGTGCGAAAGTGCGATGGCGGACAACATCAATTTCAAAGACAAAATTTAAATAGAGCATGATAGCCTACGTGGACTTCGTCTGGGGCCTGTTTTACTAAGATAAAATTCAAATTTTAGTATTTGATTGGATAATAGATAATATTAGATTTATTTTAGTGCTTAGCTAATCAAAATTGAAGTATCTACAATTATGTTGACGTGAGATAACTACAGACTCGTTTCTTGTCGTTCGAGTTTATAAATACGTTCTTCATAGATCCCACACATAATAATCGAGATACTACTAGTCTAATGATAGCTGGTCTGGATACACAAGACACTATTGCGACGATGGGCCACGTCGGGAATTATTTTTTATCTTTTCTTTTTCAATTTTTTTTTTTTTCATTTAATTTTTTTTTTAATATTATTTCTTTTTTATTTTTTTAAAATATATTTTATTATTTTTTTTAAATATATATAGATTTTTTTTTTCATTTAAAAAAGATTTTTTTTTTTTAAATTTTAAAAAGATTTTTTTTTTTTAAATTTTTTAAAAAGATTTTTTTTTTTAATTTTTTTAAAAAGATTTTTTTTTTTAAATTTTTTAAAAAGATTTTTTTTTTTAAATTTTAAAAGATTATTTTTTTTTTTTAAATTTTAAAAAGATTTTTTTTTTTTTAAATTTTTTAAAAAGATTTTTTTTTTTAATTTTTTTAAAAAGATTTTTTCTTTTAAATTTTTTAAAAAGATTTTTTTTTTTAAATTTTAAAAGATTATTTTTTTTTTATTTTGTAAAACAAAACAAAAAAAATGTTTCTTTTTTTTTTTACTACTATTTTTATTATTTTAAATGAAATACAAAAAAATAACCAAAAAAACGCTATTGCGACCATGGGCCACCATACACGTGTTAAAGGCAGTCATTTTTTACAGAGATATTAGAGAATCCTCGTAATTCTCTGTGAAACAGATTGGGCGTGTAGGCGTACCAAGGAAATAGGGGGATGGGGACAGTTCAGGTCGAAACAATTTATCAAAATAATCTGTAACAGTGCCATGCACATAATGCAGTCCTGTCGTATTTTAGGATAAATACGATTGTATATTTGAATAGCTTTTAATTTCGGAGATAATGGAATAAAAATCTGAGTCTGAATTCCCCCACCCCACCCCAGCCCAAACATACCCACACGCACACTGCCGGGCAACCCTCGAGCGTGCAAAGTCACTGCAATAGACCGTTTGCATTGTCTTTATTATACGTGCAGCGAATATTGTTTCTGTATCGGATCGGGTTTAATCTGGTTGAAATCGCCCCACTCTCGCCTGTGGTCAAATCGCAACAAATCGAAAAATATTATATATATTTTTACCGGTCTTTGAGGGTGGTTCTGTGTGATTAAACGCGAACATTATTCATTTTTGGTCTGGAGGGGACACTAAATCGATCTGCCATATAGGACCAAAATTGCTAACCGCGTACCTGAACAGCTGATAATATAAACAAAAGCCCCAAAAGCTGTGATTGCAACAGCCACTCAAATTACAGTATTGGGGACACACCTCCAAAGTAATTTAAATGCGGTGAATAGGTTGGGTGGAATAATAAAGTCCCATATAATAAAATGTATATGTTATAAATTATCATAATATTTGTATTTCAATCAAATCATCTCTTTATTTTACTCATTCTGGCATTCAGAAATACACTCTTTGTAAGAAATCTTTTTTTAAGAAAAGAGGTGTCACCGCGTATTAATATGTTGAATTAAAAACGTCACATAAAAAAAGTAGCATGGTATTATTGGTATAGCGGTCAGTTACTGAATTAGATCAGCCGGCGATTTCAGTGTTAGGGAAAAGTTGACTAGCAAGAAAAATGGGATGGTTATCGCAGATTGTCAGGTGTGTGAAAAACCCATTAATTTCCTTTTCTTTCCCTTTTTGTTAGTTTTACAACTATTTATTTTAATTTGTAAATATTGCGTTATTTATTTGTCAGGTATTATTCCGTTGGGCAGTAAGGTTTCTCTGTTTGACACACGTGTCCCCGATGTACATTTGTATGGCAAGCCGCAAAGTCAATCGATCACGTACACCATATTGTCGGTATAAGGTCCTTGTTATATTAATAACCACGTATCGCAATATACATAACAACAAGAAAAATGTATCAATAAAATATTTAAATATATATAAAAAGTCTCCATATTATAGTTCTTTTCATGAAGATTTAAGGGGATAAAGAGAGAGAAATGGGGTTTAACGTCCACTCGACACAAACTAGGTCATTTCGGGAGCAACATGGTTTTAATTTTATTTCAATAATTCGCTTGCGCGTAGGGGTGTTTAACAGTGGGAGGACCCGGAGAAAACCCACGAGGCTGGACAGGCGACCCTACTCCTTGTCACGTACAACCGGGGATTCGAAACAATGCCAGTTGACTCAATGACAGGTCTTATGATACAGCACGTACGTGCTAACCATTGGGCCATCCAACCCCCCTTAAAAGGGATAAACAACCTAGTATAAATGTATAAATCTATCTTGTGTTTTACTCAATCGTGTATCTATGCATAGAAGAAAGATTTCAAAATCTTAGTCTTATTTGAACATACATTGACATCATTGTTTGCTTAACATTCTTGTATACATTGCAAATACTGATATGAAAAGTCAGTATGTCCTACTGGGTTAAAAAAACAAAACCAAAACACGTGGGCAGTAATATAAAATCTACATTTTCAAGTATAGGCCTATCTAGACATAAAAAATAATTTGACATATACATAGGCCTATACTTTTTTTTGTCCATATAATATAGGCCCAGAGGCATAAATGTTGGTGGGGGGGGGGGTACATGAAAAAAAATAGTCATTCTCAAAATAAGTGCAGTCGGTCTCAAAATTATGCATGAGTGACTGAATGAATTAATGAGGTAAGAAAACAATGTCAAAATAGAAGGGAAAAATACATATATCTGTGTATACGGATGATTGCTTTAATTGGATATCATGAGTGACTGAATGAATTAATTAGGTAAGAAAACAATGTAAAAATAGAAGGAAAAAATATATATATCTGTGTATACGTATGATTGCTTTGATTGGATATCACAATATGCGGCAAAGACGTTTCTATTAAATTAGGCAATATTATAAAGGTTATTTAAATTATTTGCGGATGATATTCAATATTAGCAAAGAATTTATAAATTATATAATGCTGAACTTATGACCCCCCCAACCCAGGAAAAAAAAATAGTCGGTCTCAAAATAAGTGCAGTCATGTTCTAACATGTGAACACTGCTAGGACTTTAAAAATATATATTACTTGGATAATTGGGGTTAGTTTTCTTATGGAGGTCTTAAAGTTTAGTGGAATAACAAGGAACAAGCTTACAACACCAGCTTTTGTCTCAGTGGCAAATTGCAATTATAGACTCGACTTTCTCATTTGTCTGAAACTTTTCCTTTAAATGATTTAAGGGAAAACTAGGAGTAAATCAAGGGTCAAAAGTCTTGACATACATGTATTACATGTATATGAGTAAAACTAAAAGGTCATAAGCTGCTTGACCGCATATGCTAGGGTGAAGGTAGATGAGGACAATGGGCAGCTATCAATAAGTTAACTGACCTCTCACTGGCTCTCACTCAAATTACAGTTTTGTTGTGGAAGACCAGTGTTAGCTTAGGTCATTAACTGAAGTAGCGGCTATTTTCACATGTTACATTGTATAAGTGCTAAACTAGTTACTTGGGCTTAACCATCAATAAAAGTCAACAGATCTATCTAAATTAGTAAAGAACAAATTAGACTTATTTTTTGATAAACAAGAGTTTATACTGAGTCTTGTTTTGATTTAATCGAGATATGCAGGTGTGTGTACTCATTGACATTTTCATTGGAATGGTTTACTATTGGAATGGTTTAAATCTATTGTATTGGTTCAGAAGTTGCTGAAAATAGTGAATTTTAAAGAAATCTTTTTAAATCTCTTTTCTTTGTTAATTTCTCTGTTTATATTTGATTTTATTAAAGGGAAAAACCTTTTGAGTTTCTATATTATGTCTTTAGAATTATATTAAAAAATACATGAAGATGCTGCTTTAAGCAAGGTCATCATATATACATGACATGTTCATCATATTTGTGCATGATGTAACATTCTTAATCTTAATAAATTTGTTAGATAAATAGATAAATGAATGGTGTTTACTGTGGTACATATTTGATTTTGTTTCAGAGTTTCTCCCCGTTTACTCAAAGACTCTCCATTGTTAAAGAGACAATGTCTACAGATGAGACACTACAGAGTAATCTACGGAGATATTGGACTACTGCCAGAGAATGTCCAGTCATACGTGGAAGAGAATGTGCGTTTGTGTCGACCAGATAATGTACATATTTGTGATGGATCTGAGAGGGAAAATGATTTACTGACTTATGTTCTACAGAAAGATGGAATCTTAAAGAAACTACCTAAATATGAGAATTGGTCAGTATTTGTTTCGCAAATGTTCTTTATTATCTCTAAAAAAGTTCTTTATTATCTCTTTAAAAAAGTTTTTTTTATTACGATTTCTCTTTAAAAAATGTTATTTGTGATCACTTTTAAAAAATGTTATTTATGATCACTTTTAAAAACGTTTGTATTATCTCTTTTAAAAAAATGTTCTTTATTATCTCTTTAAAAATGTTCTTATCACTTTTAACAAAATTTTCTTTGTTTTTTTAAAAAGTGTTCTTAATTATCTCTTTAAAACTGTTATCTCTTTAAAAAGGGACTACCTGGCTGTATAAGTATAACAAAAAGCACACTATTCAAAATGTATCATACTTCAGATACCTAATAGGTTCATCCATTTTCCATAAATGTAAAATTTTCTCATATGAGTGAAACCAAAAATGATGTGCATGCCTGTATCTTTGATGTTGGTGTCCTATATAATTATTATTTTCTGAAATTTAGTGACGATTTTATTAATTTTTGACATTTTGTATGACTTTCTCTCAGGGTGGATTTACGTGTATACATATGGTGATCATTCCAATGACTTTCTCTCAGGGTGGATTTACATGTATACATATGGTGATCATTCCAATTATTTGTTGCTACCTGTCTTTCTGTGTTAAACTAGTGAATTGTATGTATGTGCCATGCAACTGTCCTTATTTTCTCCAACAGTTGGCTAGCTCGTACAGATCCAGCAGATGTGGCTCGAGTTGAACGTCTTACCTATATTTCCACTGAACTTAAAAGGGATACTGTACCTACACCCAAAAATGGGGCAGTCTCCCAATTAGGTAATTGGATGTCACCGGCTGATATGGACAATGAGCTGAACATAAGATTTCCAGAATGTATGACAGGTAATGATGGTAATTTCTTATAATAAGTTTAAAAAATATACTACATGTAGTATTTTTATCTGACTGAAAATTGATTCAAGCCATTCAGTGTATGATTTACTTGTATATGGAAAGAAAGAACTATGTATCAAAATGTTAGACCTAATTAAGTTTCAAATCCAGATGGGACAAGGAAATTAAATGAGTTATTTTATTGAAATGATATGGTATTTTGTTAACAGGTAGAACAATGTATGTAATACCATTCAGTATGGGACCAGTTGGGTCACCATTAAGTAAAATCGGGATACAACTCACAGATTCAGCCTATGTGGTAGCCAGTATGCGAATCATGACTAGAATGGGTTCCAATGTTTTGGCTGCTCTTAATGGAGGACAATTTGTTAAATGTCTGCATTCAGTTGGAAGACCTTTACCTTTAACAGGTATATATAAAAGACATCTTTAGCTGTTTTCTTTTGTTATATACTATTCAAAAAAAGTAGGGGATATTTGATTTTGGGGGCATAATACTAAAATATGCAAATGACTACGAAAAAAGTCACTATAGAACCTAACAGAAGAAACATTTCCAGTTACATGTGACGCCCAAACGCACCAATAGCTACCGCATGGAATGCAGATGATGCTTGGGATCATCATGGGGGTCGAACCCAAGATTTGCACGACTCTGACTTTGAATGTTACAGTCATTGTGGCATTGAATTCCAGGGTGGAAACGTCAGTTTAATTGTTTTAGTGACCAGAAAACAAATTTTGATATGCGTCGGCTTACCCAAAATGAAAGGTTACGTGCCCTTGGCATGCTACAGATCGGCACAACACAGGCGGTTGTGGCGCGGACGATGAATGTTTCTTAGTCTGTCATAAGCAGGCTATGGTCCAGATACCGTGATACACAATCTGTACAGGACAGACCACGCTCAGGTCGACCAAGGGCGACAACTCAAGCCCAGGATCGATTTATCCGTACCTTGGCCTTGAGAAATCGTGTCATCACAGCAAATCAGATCAGCTCTCGTCTTCAAACAGACACTGGTGTGAGAGTGAGTGGCCAGACGATTCGGAATCGACTGCATAGGGGGTCACCTTCGCGCCCGACGTCCTCGCGTGATCCCTTGTTTGAGAGATCATCACATTCAGGCAAGACGTCGTTGGTGTAGGGATCGTCAACACTGGGATAATCGACGCTGGAGCAATGTGATGTTTTCAGATGAGTCAAGGTTCACTGTTGATTTTTTGGACAGACGTAGGAGGGTGTGGCGTCGTCGAAATGAGCGCTTCCAAGACGTTAACGTCATCAGACATGATCGATTTGGGGGTGGTTCTGTTATGGTGTGGGGAGGCATCACTGTTGCTGGAAGAAAGGCTTTACATGTTGTTGCAGGGCGTGTTACAGGCCAGTACTACCGGGACAACATCTTGGCAGTCCATGTTGTGCCGTTCGCACGACGTCATGGCCGCCGTTTCATCTTCCAGGATGACAACGCAGGATGTCACAGGGCCAGGATCGTTACAGGTTACCTCCAACAATAGAACATCACCACATTACCTTGGCCAGCACTGAGTCCCGACCTCTCCCCCATCGAGCATGTCTGGGACATGCTTGGACAGAGGTTACGTCAACGTCGACAACGTCCTGCCAATGTCCAAGAACTTGCTGCTGCGTTGCAACAGGAATGGGACAATCTGGACCAAAATGACCTTAGACGTCTCATTAGGAGTATGCCACGTCGGATCAATGCTTGTTTGGCAAACAGAGGAGGATTTACTGACTTGGTTGTGATGCTGTGGTAACTTTGCTGTTTGACCCCGGGTATCATTTTACCCTTATAATGGTCAGTCTGTGCCTTACTTAGTCTAACGATCATTTGGAATAAATCGATGAATGTGAACTTCATTTCATTTTGTCATTTGTTTCTTCGTTAGTTTCATTAGGTGACTTTAATAACACTTAAAAATCAAATATCCCCTACTTTTTTTGAATAGTATATATTCAGCTATTACGGGTAACTGTAAAACTTAGACTAATAGTCACATAGAAAATAAACAGAATTCATAACTTTTACTTGGAAGTTTACATATTTTAAGAACATTGTCACCTGACTAGTATTGTTCAACTCGCAGAATACTTGCTTTAAAATAGATTTTATGTTTTCATTTATTTTTAATTAATAGCACCAGTTCATAACAATTGGCCATGTGATCCTAAAATGACATTAGTAGCACATTTTCAAGAACGGAATGAAATTTGTTCATTTGGAAGTGGTTATGGTGGAAACTCCTTACTTGGTAAAAAATGTTTTGCTCTTCGAATAGGCTCAAAGCTAGCCCAGAAAGAAGGATGGTTTGCAGAACACATGTTGGTAAGATTGTCTTTATATCTATGTTCATATTTTGCAAGCATGGGATTCACAATTGTTTGATTTTATTTTGATATTTTCAAAATATTAGTAGTTCCACTTGGTATTGGGTAAAGATGATGATATTGAGTGTCTTTGCAAAAGAAGTGCCAGAGTTATGGCCTCTGAGTTAGTTCTTAAAGGATTTTGATCAAATTTCATGAAGTTATTCATGACTTTAAGAGGGTTTCTATTGATTTTGAGATTTTATTTTTAGTTCCAGAGTTGTGGTCCATAACTTAAATGCACTTGATTATTACAGTGCTGTATTCACTCTACTTGATTAAGGATAACTCTTGCAACATGCAGCAATTAGTTTATATCATCACCATGTTGTTAAAGATATTGTTTATGTTGTAGATTTTAGGGTTAGAAAATTCCAAAGGCGAGAAAAAGTATATAGCAGCTGCTTTCCCGAGTGCTTGTGGAAAAACAAATTTGGCTATGATGACATCATCTTTACCAGAATATAAAGTGACATGTGTTGGGGATGATATCGCATGGATGAGATTTGATGAAAGTGGTCAACTTCGAGCAATCAATCCAGAAAATGGTTTCTTTGGTGTAGCCCCAGGTAATTGCCTAATTATTATTTTTCAACAATATGTTTTGGAGGACAGGTTTACAAATCATCTAATGCAACCACACCAGGCCTGTTGAAAACTGTGGCCAGGTACATGTACCAAAGAATATATATCAGATTATGTGTATATGATTGCGGAGTATAAAATGTCTCTTCTACTGCTTTACAAGAATGCTACAATATATCAAATTAACCACTGATTGCTTATAATTTTATGGTTTAAATGTATTTCTTCTTAAAACATGGTGTGTCAGTTATCTCCCAAAAGAAGTGTTGAAAACTATAGCCAGGTACATGATACTAAAGAATATATATCAAATTATTTGTATGTGATTGCAGAATATAAAATGTCTCTTCTCTTACATTCCAGGAACTTCAAATAAAACAAACCCATGTGCAATGGAAACTATCAAATCTAATACTGTATTTACTAATGTTGCTGAGACTAGTGATGGTGGAATATTTTGGGAAGGGTTAGAGAAAGAGATATCCAGTGAAGTAGAAATCACATCTTGGTTAGGAGATGAACATTGGAGTAAAGAAAAAAGTAAAAAGCCAGCTGCACATCCAAATTCAAGGTAAATATCAATTGATAAAGACATATGAATACTATTTACAAATTTAAAAAAAATGTGCTTTTAAGGAGCAAGTACCATAGTCATATGAAATAGACAAATGCAGTGCATAAATTCTCATTATCAAGTTGAGGTCCACTCTAGCAGCAGAAGTGAAAGCTTGGGATCCCTCTTCACTTCCATGGTATTGTGATCACACTTACTATGGAACAAGTACATCTCTGTCTGTATGCATTGCTCTCTCAGTTAATTGGAAATAGATCCAACTGTAGATAGTGTTAAGAAAACTGTAATTTGGCATATTTCTAAGTTACTGGTAATTGGAAATATTTTTCTTTCAGATTCTGTGCACCAGCTAGTCAATGTCCTATATTAGACTCAGAGTGGGAGAATCCAAAAGGTGTTCCAATTGATGCTATCATCTTTGGGGGAAGACGACCAGAAGGTACATATTTCTTGTATTAACATTTTCTGTTTTTAAAGAAAAGTGCTGGTAGTTCATTACCAAAGAATACTGTGAGGAAGCATACTTTGAGTGGAAAGATTTGAAATATATACTGAGCGCCATTGAAAATGCATCACTTAGTTTTTCGTATAACAAAATGATCCTGTAAACATATCTTATTTATTTTGCTTCTTATTGTGAACAATATTCAAATGGGAACACATCAATAACAACACATTTGTACACTTATGGATGTTTAATCTGTAATCAACGGTACAAAGTCAGATGGGTCAAAACCAAAAGTACGACACAGATGTCAGTAGCACGTGCGTCCTCCACGGGCCATCATCACGGTAGGCTACAGCATTAACGCGACCCCTGCAAATGTGTAGGGCGGTCCGGTGATGAAATGTTAAGCCTCCCCACACCATTACACTTCCCCCACCCCTTTGATCCGTTTCGAAGATGCAGCAGCCTGCAAGACGTTCCCCAAGACGTCTCCACACACGTTGACGGCCATCAGCGTGATTAAGATGAAAGCGACTCTCATCACTGAAGAGCACACTTTGCCAGTCTACTCTTCTCCATGTCTGGTGTCCTTGAGCCCATATCAAACGCCGCTGACGGTGATGATCCTTGAGGATAGCTCCAACATAAGGTTGTCGTGCACTGAGTCCTACTTCTCTTAGACGACGTCTTACGGTGTTGGCACTTACTGGTCCTTGTCTTCCGACGACTGCTGCACCTGTTCGAGTCGCTGGGCGGAATCCGTCACGCAGATGAGTGACCCGGATGTAGCGTTCTTGAGCCTGGGTTGTAATGCGTTGTGGACAAGGACGTTGACGGTCACTTGTTGATCCAGTAACACGTTCCACCAACCTTACAATAGTGCACTGATGACAATTGAAGTGTCTTGCAATAGCACGTGTAGACATGCCAGCCCTGGACATTCCCATGGCTTCATTCCGTTGATTTTCAGTAAGTCTCGGCATCTCTAGCTCGATTCCTTCCCACGTCCAACAATAAATTACGACAGATTGATGTTTCACAGTTGATGTACTGCACATTAAGTTGAAAACATGCTTTTAAAGGGCTCACACACAATGCTGCACGTGAATATTGGGTTTTTCATGTGCATCTCGTGCAATTTTTTTTTTTGCACACGGGCCAATATTTTTTGTGTTTGGGAGCATTGTGTGAAACTATAGTTAATAGTATTGCATAATATTATACATACAAAACCACCTACGGTAATAAAATATTTGAGAAAAAAAAGTGATGCGTTTTCTATGGCGCTCAGTATATTTTGGGAACTTATATTTTAGGTGACTTGACTATTGAAGCAGTTTCTACACCCATGTTTCGTATATTGTTTAACCCCCATCTATCCCACATCTACAATTGCCCGTTGACAGTGGACACACTAGGGGCTAATATTATCATCTGATTGAAATTATTACAGTGCTATGTCCATGAGACGAGGAAATCTATTAATTTGTAACAATTTCTGATAATTGCTGTCTTAGTTGTGGCCCTTAATCACTTAGGAAAAAATATTATGGACCCCTCTAGTTAACTACTGGTAGTCAGTTTATATAACTTGAAGTCTGGATACAAGTCACCTGTCTCAGGTAATATCCAATCAGGGCTGCCGACAACCAGTATCGCAGCGCAATTTGCGATACATATTTTGTCCGTTGCTAACCAAAAATTAAAATCTACTGTATCTGCGAATCATTAATATGCCTGTCATTTTGGATATTGGCACAAGAATAATCCACCTTTTGAAGACTAGAAGGCTTACTCAACACTTTCAACGTGTATAAAATTTTATAAACAAAACTCAATTCTCCATGTGACATTTTCTTCTCGAACTACCCAGAAACAATACTATATAACACAAGGACATAACTCTATGAATAGGGACTATTAAACCGGAAATAGGGAATCAAGTAGTACCACTCACGTTGTGAGACATCAAGTAATTATATCATATTTTGGAAGAAATAAATCCAGTGTATCCCCCCACGCATTGTAAATAAAATATAAAAAAATAAATACATGCTAACATATTGTAAAATGATAAATCAAAGTAAAAATTCCCATAAAATATTGTTGTTTATATCGCGTGTGTCTAGTTAATCGAGGTGCACCCGATTGAACAAAAATAGTAATACACGATAAAAAGCAGATGAAATTGTTTTCTAACGAAGATTTCTAACGTAACCAAAAAATAACAATTAAAATGAGTGGGGCTTCGGAAGTCACTGTCAAGAATTGGCTTCAGAAATAAGACCTAACAAAATGTCTACATCACATTCACAAACTGTCACAATTAAGTAGCCTACTTGTGGCAGTGCTAAAAAAATCTAAAAATAGTCAGAATGGAATCTAATCATATTTGTTATGAATTAAAGTAATATCTTGTTATTTTGGTGTTTTACGTTGAAACTGAAAAACTGCTGATCAATTTTTAAATTTGCTAATCAAATTTGACAAAATCAACTGTGAAAAATTACCGACAGCCCTGTATCCAATACAACTTCCGGTTTTGTCCAGCACAAAGTTCTAAATGTGAAATAATAAAACGTTATTTCTAGATCAATATATGATAAGTGAAATAAGAGTACGGGTATTGACTATATGTCAACCAAATAATTGTCGGTTCATGTACTATTTCGATAATATCTCTTCAGGTGTTCCCTTAGTTTATGAATCATTTAACTGGCAGCATGGCGTGTTCATTGGTGCTTCAATGCGATCAGAAGCCACAGCTGCTGCAGAGCATAAAGGTAGGTTTATCTAGCCTGTATGTATTGTCAACCACATTTTTTCAGTTTAATATGCCTCTTCAGATTCTTGTAACATTACACATATTATCCTTAAAGTGAAATTACATCTTGGAGGGAACACATCACACCCTATATGAAAGATCTTCATTGACTACCAGTAAAATCTTGCATCTCTTTTAAAATACTGTGCAACACATACAATTCGCTACACTCCGATTCCCGTCCAGTCTATCTGAAAGAACTTTACACATATTTTTCCAACCAACAATCTCATCTGAGATCAGTCGATGACAGAACTCGCCTTTCAATCGCAAAATTTAACAAACGAATTGGCCAATTCTCATACCCCTGTCATTCAGCCAAACTTGGGAACAATCTTCCTGTAACCATTAGACAATCAAATTCATATAATATATTTAAGCGTAAACTGAAAACTCATCTTTTCGGAAAGTGTTATGATTAGTCTTGTGTTTTTTGTGAAGTGATTAAGAACATTTTGATATGTAATGTAGCGCTATATAAATGAAACGATAATAATATAATTTACATGATATACATAATGAATAAAGGAGCTGTTACTTTCTCCATAAAGCTGGGTGAACGGCCCTTTAGACATTAGGTGACAGTTAACTTTGTTGATGAAATGTCTTTTGAAACGTCCAATTCAAAAAGTGTATTGATTTTCAATAACTTGAACAGCTAACTTCATGATATTAAATGTTTTGTATACGAATTGTTTACCATGGGGCAGAACTAGAAGCCAAACAAATTTTATTGATTTCTGATAATAAGTTGTTACTCTTAATCAGATTTTGGTGTATTGTAAATGTTTCATTGCCGACAAAAGAAAATATATGGACAACCCTTGTTGACTGTCAAGATGACTTGGCTGCTGTGGGCGTATGTTTCGTTGCCTGGCAACCATATCTTTAACGTTTTGGGCCTAGTGCTTTAATTATTCATCTGCCTAAATGAGATTTGCCTACACAATCTTGTGATATTTCACTTTTAACCTGTTTAATTATTTTTCAGCCAAATCGTTGATGCATGATCCCTTTGCAATGCGCCCATTTTTTGGATACAACTTTGGTGACTACTTGAAACATTGGCTGAGCTTTCAAGAGAAAAATGAACTGAATCTCCCCAAAATATTTCATGTTAATTGGTTCCGTAAAGATTCCAAGGGACAATTTATGTGGCCAGGGTTTGGAGAAAATTCAAGAGTTTTAGACTGGATTTTTAAGAGGATAAATAATGAAGATATA